AGGGAGAGGAAGGGCCCCTTTCGTAACTGCGGAAGTCGGATCCGCGTAACTCGGGGACTGCCTGTACCCACCTCATAGTGGTGTATATACTAGACAGAGTAAAATAAAGACCTGGGACCATAGACTTAGGCATCTATATACCTTTAAAATATGGGCCCTGATTCTGAAAGGCATGGTGAAAGCAATGGGAGCACATCATGAGGAAAATCTCCACAATCTAACTCTAGGTCAAGGCCATATTCTCCTCTCAGTCTTTGCAAATGCTGTGCCTTTAACAGGGCTCTACATTAGAGACAGAGTAAAATAAAGACCTGGGACCATAGACTTAGGCATCTATATACCTTTAAAATATGGGCCCTGATTCTGAAAGGCATGGTGAAAGCAATGGGAGCACATCATGAGGAAAATCTCCACAATCTAACTCTAGGTCAAGGCCATATTCTCCTCTCAGTCTTTGCAAATGCTGTGCCTTTAACAGGGCTCTACATTAGCAGTATTTTTGACTGGCTCCTTTTTCAAGGTTTAAAACAAAGTTGCATAGAGTTGCCATTTAGACTCTTGGGCTCCTTCGTAAAATGATAAATTATTCAACTCAAAAGCTGCATTTTTGGAGATGGCTTGTTATTTTCAGTCAGAGAGGAACAGAGTCACAAAAGAGCACAAATCCCTCCCTGATTATTTATTTACCAAGCATTAAAAGCACTTAGTGGATGCCGGGAACATGACATGAGCCTCAGAGGATCAAAGCTACAGTCACTTAAAAAGGACAGTGGGGTTTTTTTTGTTTTTGGTTTTGGTTTTTTTTTTGCCGAATATAAAACATTCAAGAGTATAAGGTGACACAAAAAAACAGAACTGTTTCTCACAAGGTGCACTTTGCAGGGACCTGCTGACCTCACACTTACAGTCATATTCCCGCAATGCAACCCTCTGAACAAGGAGCTAAGTTCAAGAGGAGCTGAACATTGGTGAAGCCAGAGGGAAAGGCAGGTCCTCAGCAGTTCAGGATCCAGCCCAGTATTTGTGGCTTTTCTTAGGCAGTTCAAAATAACCTATCTGCACCAGTGCTGGCTGGTACCACACAAGGCTACGTACTTGCTTCGTCGGAATCGTAGCTGTTTGCCTCGTCCTCTTCATCATCCTGAGGCGGCGGCAGCTGACGCACAGGTGCGGCTGGCACAGGCAGGGCGGTGGCTTGCATTTTTGGGTCAGGCTGGCGTGTGGCCCTTTCCTCTCTGGCTGCAGGCATCGCATAACCACCACCACCACCTCCTCTCTCATCCCTGGGAACTGCTGCTGAATAGGCAAGGTCTGTCTGGGGCAGGCCCATCGGTTGGCTCACTGGGTGAGAGAAAACAAGTATTGAATTAAGACACACTGATGAGGAAGGTTTGTGTTTCTCCTGGTGGTGCACATTTAAATATGTCTCAGTGCACATAAAATTATTCCACACATGGAGGGAAAAGATTAGCATGAACACTGGTCAGGACCCTAAAGTGAGTCACGAGCCCGACCCTGTTTTAATGGCGTCCTCTGTGCAGATGTTAACTTGCTGGGGCTCAAGCCAAAGCCCTGGCAGCCAGGTTCAGGCTTCAGGTCTGAGCAGCTCTGGGTTCACCTCCTCCTCCCTTCTCCCCGGATTCATGTAGTAATTTCTGTTGCCAGAAGGGAGTCACTGAGCAATGAAGCCCTCTGATCTAGTCGGGCCTCCGGTACAACACAGACATGAAAACTGTCCCTACATCATTGCTGTCTGAGCTAGAGGAGGTCTTCACTTGCCTGGGATGGCAAAGCTACCACAATGCCTGGTAAGCTGCCTCAGCAGTTACCTTCACTCACATTTACACTTTACTGGTGGTCTGGAATTTGTCTGCCTTCCACTTCCGGTCACTGGATCCTGTTATCAATCTTAAACCCTCTTCCCTCTGCTTCTCTTCTCCTAGGCCAACTGCACCGCTCGCTGTGGACCCCTTCACAGAAGGGGGAGGTCTGATCTCAGCCTTATTATGCTAAATAGCATTTCCTGTCCTCATTTTCAAAGTCAGCACCCTGGATGGAGTCACCCGCCCGCTGCCAGTTAGGGCGTGAAAATTCCAGCCACAGATGGGTTTTGGCATGGTTGAGACTTGACATGAGCACTGGAATCCCTTTCCATGGGGATGGTGACACTGACCTGGTACTTGCTGTGAGGATTTGATCTCTGTACGGCCCAGCAATGGCTGTGAGCCAAGAGGATCAGGCACATCCTAAAACCATTAAGTGCCAACAGCTGGGACTGAAAGACCAGGGACAGATCCCTCAGAACTGCCCTAAAGCCTCTGCCACTGGCTAGCAGCAGAAGACGTACCATTGATGGGGCCCAGCAGCCCCACTATCATGCTCTGATTGGCATAAGCAAACATGACATTCCATAGTCTATGGGACTGCACTGGATTTATTCAGGCACTTCCCCCCTTCTAGTGCTGTGGGAAGAGAGAACCCATGCTAAGGAACTTGGAGGAGCTCTGCTTGGCTTCTGCATACAATGCCCAGGCTTACACTACCCATACGTACGGGGCAAGCTTTACATTGGTTTCTCCCAAGCCTCCATGTGAGTAAAACAATCTCCTGCAAAAAGCAAACATTAAAAGGGGGAAGCAGGTCTCCTGCCTACCATGTAGACTTGGGCTTCCGGTGGCCATGCTTCTCACCTGTCCTCACCACTTAGGTGCTCAGATACCACAGGGATGTGGCATAAGGAATGAAGAAAATGAAGGTGCATGAGCATGCCCAATGCATTTTTCATTTGAGTGGTTAATTTTGCTGCAGAACCCATGCATCTCCACTTATAAGCAGCTCGGTTTATGATCAAACAGCTGCTCTCAGTTGAGATGGCTGCTTGGATTACAGCTGATTTGGCTAGTAAATTAAGCAGGGAGGAAATCCATGGTGAGTGAAAAATGAACTTCATCCTGGATTATTTCTTACTCCATTTTGCTCAGTGGAAGTCAGAATAACTATTCTCTTTACACTTCTGCCTAATGCACATGCGAGGTGCTTTGCTTTTGTATCAGGCCATGGCTATAAAATGGGCTTCTCACACATCTTCCTTTGCCCTGGGTTTAAGCCGTAAGTGGTGGAGGGGTTATAAAGCTACCCCATCTCTTGCTGAGTCAGAATTCCCCAAGTTCCAAGGGCTCAAGTAAAAGAAAACCTGAAAGCTCGGAAATAGATAGCTGACCCATTTCTGTTCTCATATCTTGGGATGAAAGCCTGAGGGGAATACACCAGCACCTTGTTCATGGGAATTAACAGAGGAGATGGAATGTTTATAATTAACATCCTGAAAGTCAAGACAAGGTACTGTGTGTTTCCCCAGGACAAGTAGGTGAAAGACGGCATTTATCTTAGTTTGAGCCTTTTCATCTCATTTTATTATTTAAGAGAACAGGAGCCAAATTCTATTCTCCGTTATCAACTGCAAATCAGGTTATCCCACTGACATCAGTAGATCCCCCTGATTTACATCAGGATAAATGAAAGCAGAATTTGGCCTTCTAAGAGGAAAAGCAAAGCTTTAAATAAATTATAGACAACTGCAAAATTGCTCCAAAAGTGAGTCCCCTGACCTGGCCTGTCAATTAACGTTGGCAGATACTTAGCCTCTCAATCCATCTTTGGACTAAACCCAGAGAGACAGAGCAATCTCCTTCCAGTGCCAGTCATTAATCCGCCTTTTCTAAGCCATGTGTCATTATGGGTATGCTAGTTACCATACCAACAGGCCACTCGCCTAGAAGAATGTCTTGCCCTGAGCACAGAAGAGGCCATTCACAATATGAAAACATCTGAAACGGTGTTTGTTAATACCAGGGATCAGATGGGCAAGCTGCAGAAGAGACGGTTTAGGTCCATTAGCCCTGTTTATGAATAGTCTCCCTGTTTTCCATTAACTGTGTCATCTGCTTTGTCACCCTTTCCAAGCATTTTGGCATAAGGGAGGAGCTGGAACCCACAGGACCCCAAGTCAGTGCACTGCAGTAGATGAGGACCCACTGAGAGTCTTTACCTTGTCTTTCTGGATATCTACCAGCGGGCCCGGACTCTTGTCTGCCACCTACTGCAGGAGCTGTGGTATAAAAAGTTATATTGTTAGCTGGCAGCAAGGCTAGTGGCTTCTAGAGGGCAGGGGACTGGAACCCCTCTCCCCTTCCCTCCCATATCTGCAGGAACCAAGTCACTTTTACACCATTGATCAAGCAGCAGTGAGAGAAGGGGGGCATACAAGGGGCGGGGGGTTGTAGTGGCACCATCAGCATGGCAGTCTCATCCACCAGGAAGCAAGGGCCCATCACAGCCTGACCAAGCCATCCCTGTGGAAAGAGCTTTGTGGTTAGATCCAGGAATCTTGGCTCCCAGGCAGTATTCCCTCTAAGCTAAGCAATTGGGCACCCACCAAGGAGAGATTCAAATGCTGCCCGGGTGATTAGCAGAGCACCCAGAGCCACCAACCGCTAGTAACATGTGTTTCTATAGGTGGTGTATATCCACACCTGTTTGGGTGCATATAATAAAATTTATTTCATGCAAAGAGGGAAAAAAATTAGAGGGAACAATGCTCCAGGGTCACGGTTTTGGCTCCACTATTGACCAGTGGTGTGATACCTGAAAAGCCATTACACCTCTATGTGTATGTGTGTGTAAAGGTGGAAGGGATGGGGAAAGCCCTGACCTGCCTCAGTGATCAGCAGTGCCTTCAAAGCACAGTCCTACATCCCAGGAACCCATTTTCCACCATCCCCAGCGTGGCCCAGCACCACTGTGGCACAAGCAGGCCCAGAGTATGTAAAGCAGAATGTGCACCTGGCTGCGCAGCAGAGCTCTGACCAGTCGCTAGAGGAGGCCTGGAAGCTTGAACGGAATTGGCACGTTTTACACCTACAAGGAGGAGAGAAAATTGGGTGGGGGAGGGGAGAAATCTCATTCTCCAATTCAAAATTTGATCACCATGGTGAGGAAGAGGGGCATTGAGAGTCTCTAATCACCGGCAACTGCACAGCCACAACAGCTGATCTGTAAGAGGCAGCAACAAGCACATCAGTGAGGGGCATGAGCAAAATAATTGGGCTGGGTGTGTGGCTTCCAGAGCCAGTCAGCACGGCTTTACAATCAAGGGAGCACCACTGGGGAGACATACAAGCTGAGTGTCTGGCTCACACAGCCTATTTCCAGACAGGGAAGAGAGCCCACCTCTCTCCTATACTGTCACCATAGCAACAAGTTGCACTGGCACAGGCCATGCCCTGCGGGGCCATATCTGACAGGAGCATGCAAGGATTCAATTCAAAGTCTGCATGGAAGTTTCCTAACACAGGGTCCCCGTGTATGGAGCTGGCGATGTATCTGTAGACACACACAGGCCCAGATCTGAAAAGCATTTAGGCTAGGAATGTAAGCATAAATGCACCCCCCAGCACTGTCTCCATGGGGTGAGGGACACGGAGATGCAGCAAGGGATCAGGCACAAGCTGGAACTCAGCTGTGCTGGCTCGTGCCCGGTCCAAGAAGCTGCGTCTCTGTTTTTTAAATGGAGTAAGAGCCAGGCTGCTCTTACTCCATTTAAAAGGCAAAGGCGCAGCAGGGGACTGGGTCCAAGCCGGGAATCAGCTGTCCCAGCTCACATGTATTCCTGTGCTTCTGCACTCCCATTGAAATCAAATAGCTCTGAAAACAAAGGCCACAGTGACCAACCTAACCACCTACTACCAAGAATACCTGTGTACAGATGGAGAAATAAAATGCATTACAAAGCTGGGCCAGTACTATTAATGGGTACAATGAGGCACAGAGCAATTGAGTGACTGGCCTGCGGGAGCCCGTTTATAGTGTGGACTCTGCCTAACACAATCATTTTCCCCAAATCGCCCACCTTTGCCGCCACCACAGCAGCCCTGTTGGTGGCAGTGATGTGGAAGGCACTAGCTGTGTTGAACCCTGCATCTGGCCCTGTTCAGAACAGGCTTAGTGACACGATCAAACATGCCCGCAGGCCCCAAAGCCCGGTCTGTGCCAGCACTAGCAAATGCAGGACAAGTTAGGAGAAAAAACCGAGGGCAGGTAAATCCTGAGAGTGTGGCCACAGTAGGGTTAGAGTAGAGATTTTTGGTCTCCAACAGCCAGACGAAAGGATGAAGTGTGGCATAGTGGATAAAGCACTGGGGCTGAAGCAGCTTGATTCTGCCACTGGCCTGCTGTGTGACCTTGGGCAAGTTACTTCAGTGCTTTGTGCCTCGGTTTCCCCATCTGTAAAATAGTGATATTCATGCAGAGCTCCTTTTTTATGCAGCTGGAACGCTATGGGTGGTCATCAAGATACTTCAAGAGTAGAGGACAGTTGCATTTAGTGCATAGGGGGCCCAGACTGTGAGATGTGAGGGATTCAGGAGTCAGGGCTGGGGGTGGTAAGGCCCATGGTTGGGGCTGTAGGGGTGATGTGGGGTGGGGAGCAGGGTGCCATTTCGGGAAGGCAAGGCGTGGCTGCAGTCGCACATACCAGGTTGCTGCTGCTCTTCTTCCTGTTCCTGTGACTCTGCAGGAGCCAGGGGAAAGTTCACAGCCTGCTGCATCCTCCTCTGCCCTCCCCTCGGCAGCCAGGAGCAAGAGGAAGGCACAAGCTGAGCCACGACCCCTCAGTCCCTGAGAGTCAGAAGAAGAGGAAAAAGATGCGGTACATGTGCCTGAAGCCCTCCGAAAGGGCTCTGGGAGGGAAGGGCTAGGAGCTGGAGCAGACCCGGATTGTGGGGGGGTGCACACTCCCCCAACCAGCGCCTTTCTTCTTCCTGGCTGCCTGCGGCTTAGCAAGGCAGCCTACGAGAGAGCCCTCTGAGCCCAGCCTGTCTGGGAACAGCAGCAGCTGCGTGCCCCAGCCTGCCACATTCTTCTTGCAAGACTGCTGCACTGGGGTGCACTGGCTTATTTACTTAAGGGCCATAAGGGTGTCCCATTTCATATTGACAGAGGACAGTGTAGCAAAAACCAAGACTATCCAAGAGGACAAATGGCCACCCTATCTGCCAATGAAGAGTGCTATATAAGAGCCCCACTTGATTATTATTAGATGCTGCTATGGTCCCTGCTCTCTCCGACATTACTCATCTGTGTTAATACTACACCGTTGACTTCACTCATTTCTTACAGCTGCTGCTTCAATGCTATTTCCATGCTCAATTCTTTCAAAACCAGCTGAGCTCAGGAAGTTTAGCTTGAACGCAATACCTTATTGCTACATGCAGTGAAGTATGTTGATGTTGTGCATGCATTACACATCCATTTGCCCACCCAGCAAAATGGCTTTGCTTCGCATTGCACTGACGTCTGAAAATGCTGGGCAGCAGAGAGAAATGGGTATGAGAATACAGTGAAAGAAACTGACTTTATGGCCAAGGAATAATAGGGCATTTATTCTCATGGGTATTGACTGAGAAGGAATTAAGGAAGGGCAGAATCTCCCCACTCCAAGCCTAAGTGCAGGGACTTTGATCAGGGATGCTCAGTGGGGCTTGGGCTCCATTGTAAATGCTCTTTGATCTCCACTGTACCCCACTGACAACACCAGTCTGCACGTCTGCCCCCATCTCCTAGGAAATAAAGAGTGTGAGCCAGCAGAGCTGACAGCCAGCCCTGTGCACAGTCCCAAGTGTTGCCCCATCCACTGTGCCAAAGCAGAACTACGCCCACTCCAGGGGCTTTCAGACCAGTAAGTCCCAGCATGCCCCTGGGAAAGGGAGGAGAGGAGGGGAGGCTCCAGCTCCATGCTCCCAGAAGGGGTGGGGTCTCAGGCAGAAGGGGCAGGGCCAAGGGCATCCAGCCCTCAGCACCAGCCAGACTGCAGTGCCACTCCCAGCACAGCCTGGAGCACACCATATGGTGCTCCCACCTCGCCAGGCAAGCCCTAAGAGCCACCTAGAGCATGCCACATGGTGCTCTAGCTGCAATTTAAAGGGCTCAGCCCCCCAGCCCCTTTTGAATTGACGGGTTCTAAGGTGTTTGCCCTCTTTGCCCCTTTCTTCCATTAGCAAGCACAATATGTGGGAATAGGTGGCCCTAGGTCTGATGCAGCCCAGTAGTCCCTGCATTCGAGTTCTTCTCAGCCACATATTGCCACAAGGTCAGTTCTATGCAACACCCTATGAGATGCACATTGTTCTCCAAAGCAACTTTTATCTCCACTCTAAAGTGAGATACCATACATAGAACTGAGCAAACTGTTTGCTACGAATAAATTATTTAAGTAACTCATTTTTTTCAGCTCACACAGTATTCCTGAGCAGGCTGCAACTAACTCAGATTCATTCTTTTTTTAAAAAAAACTGTCCTTTTTTCTCCCCTGCAAAATCAGTACGGTTTCCTGCGGCACCTTAAGGACTAGTAGGTTTATTTGGGTATATGCTTTCCTGGGTAAAAAACACTTTGTCCGATGCATAGTGTCAAAGAGGTCTTTATCCACAAAAGCTTATGCTCAAATAAATCAGTTAGAATTCAAGTTGCAACAGGAGTCCCTCCTTGTTTTCACTGGTACAGAGTGACACAGGTCCCTCTCTTTTCCCTGATTATTTTAACCCAACAAAACAGCTTTGTTGAGACACATTTTGAGAGCTCTTTGTTGAGAGCTGGAGATAGAGAGCAAAAAATCCTCAACAATGATTCACCATTCAAGCCGCACTAAAGAAGAGCACTAAGAGACACACGATATTGTTTCTGGTCTTTGGCTGGATGACTGGGACCAGAAAGCAGCCCAATTCAGGACAGCATTTGATCATATGTTTAAACTTTAAGCATTGTGCTTTCCAGAACAGGGAAAGGTTTCAGCTTTTTTTTAAAGCCTTGCAGAGATGAATTTACCTGCAAACCTTATTCACTGGAGATTTTATGCAGCATTCATCCAGCCCTCACGGCAAGGGTGCGCTTGGAAAAAGGTTTCTGAATGTCGGGCTTCCAATCTACTGCACCAAGCTAGCCCTGGTATATATGACAATGAACGCTGCAGATAGACAGATTACACTGATTCACTGCAAGTAACTCTAAGATAATAGGAGTGTGACTGCAATCTCCACCACACATACACATGGATCGGATTTAACAACAGAACTACTGCTGGGCCATGCTGTTAAGAAGAGATTATCATCTTCGAGATGAGCCGTGAAAGCACAGCTCACGTGCCTGGAGGGCCCTGCATGATCCGCAGGCTGATCTACACTCATTATATTCAGGACTATGTACTCTCTTATTCACAGGAATATGGAATTGAAAGCCCAGGCTCCATCTGGCATCAAGCAAGGGATTACAGGAAGCATATCTCCAGCAGTTTGCTATCAAGTATTCCTTTTATATCCAAGGAATTAGAGATTATGGATTTTTTTCCTGTAGCGTTTAGTTCACGGAATAAATCTGCTGGCTCAGCTCCCAGCTGACAGGCCTTCTCTGAAGTTGCCTGTCATCCTACAATGTCCCCTTGGGAGAATTCTGTCCTTGACAAGCTCTGGGGTAAACATTCCTCCACGTCCAACTCTGTGAAATGGAGAGAGAGATCTCTCTAACCTAGAAAGGGTGGGGTTGGGAGCATCTACACACCTGTGTATGTGTTACCCCAGAGCTTGTCAAAGACAGAATTCTCCCAAGGGGACATTGTAGGATGACAGGCAACTTCAGGGAAGGCCTGTCAGCTCGGAGCTGAGCTAGCAGATTTATTCTGTGAACTAAACGCTACTGGAAAAAAATCCACCAGTTTTTATCAGGACATGTTACAATTGAGGCCCCTTACATTTCCATGGAAGAATAGGTGACACTGAGCTGAATTAGTGCAGTCGCCTTCATCAACGAAGCCATGAAATTCTCACACAGAGTCTCTTACCTACGTCAGTGCACTACAGCTGCCCACCTGTCCGCCTCACCTCAGAAGAGGAGGCATGTTTGGGAAACTGGCTGAATTCTCCAATAGTAACAATTATTTTGCATTTACAGGCAGTCCCCGGGTTACGTACAAGATAGGGACTGTAGGTTTGTTCTTAAGTTGAATTTGTATGTAAGTCGGAACTGGCATCCAGATTCAGCCGCTGCTGAAACTGACCGCCAGTTTGCGAAAAGTTTTGGTCATTATTAGGCCAGCTACTTTAGTTGAATATAGCTTTTGAACACTTTGATTAGATCTGAAATGTTAATGTGGATTAGGAAAGAAAGACTAATATTTTAGTGGCATAAAAGAAGACTGATTCTCTAGTCTTGACACTTGGCTATATTTAATTGTTTTACTTGTGCATCATTGGAAGTTAATCATGATGTGATGCATTTTACATTGAAATTTTATGATATGTTCAGTTAAGTTTATGTAAATCTCTTCTGGATCAATGAAACCTCACAAAATGATCAACATAGGAACAATGAATAGCTAATCAGAATTCTCCATTTTATAATGTGAAGTTCAGGGTTATCGATCACTGAAGTTTCTCATTAAGTAGGGTTCTCTCTCAAATATGGCCAATTTAGATGGAAACAGATAAGGACAAAGATGGAAGTCCAGCCTCAATTACACTGCAAAGCCAGCGTCAATAGGATTTTCACAGTAATACATGGACAGAGGAATATGAAAGGGCAAAATTATATCAGGAGAGGTAATAACAGTTAATCCTCAATTTACCATAGGGGTGAGAACATCCATTGAAACATGGTCTGTTTTGGGACCTGTACTGTTCAATATCTTCATCAATGATATAGATATTGGGATAGAGAGGGGCACCTGGAGCAGCTTTTCTCGCCCCGGAGGTCGAGGTGGCGGATCGCTGCCTGCGAGCTCCAGGGCGAGAAAGCCCCGCTCGTAAGTGCGGATCGGACGTAAGTCGGATCCACGTAAGTCGGGGACTGCCTGTAATCTAGTTCTATAATGATAAAAATGCTGTGTACGTAGCACCTTCTACCTGGGGATGTCAAAGCACTTTGTAAAGATACACACGCAAGTGCTTTGACATCCCCACCCTTTCTAGGTTAGGGAGATTTCTCTCTCCATTTCACAGAGCTGGATGTGGAAGAATGGTTCCCTGACTTAGTCAGCCTCCAAGTGTTACTTTGCACTATAAATGTTAAATAAACAAGTGATTTGCTCATGGCACTGGGGTCTCACTGAAATCAATGGGAAAAAAATTACTGACTATAACAGAAGTAGGGTCTGGTCTACAGTGAATCTGTCACACAGCAGGAAATAAAGCAAAATATTGCATTACTGAGTCATATCATCTTTCTTGGAAAGGGTACAGAGAAGAGCGACAAGAATGATTAAAGGTTTAGAGAACATGACCTATGAAGCCAGGCTTCATGAACTGGGCTTGTTTAGTTTGGAAAAAAGAAGATTAAGGGGGGACATGATAGCGGTTTTCAAATATCTAAAAGGGTGTCACAAGGAGGAAGGAGAAAATTTGTTCCTCTTGGTTTCTGAGGACAGGACAAGGAGTAATGGGCTTAAAGTGCAGCAGGGGAGGTTTAGATTGGACATTAGGAAAACATTCCTAACTGTCAGGGTGGTCAAATATTGGAATAAATTGCCAAGGGAGGTGGTGGAATCTCCCTCTCTGGAGATATTTAAGAACAGGTTAGATAGACATCTGTCAGGGATGGTGTAGACGGAGGTTGGTCCTGCCTTGAGGGTGGGGGGCTGGACTCGATGACCTCTCGGGGTCCCTTCCAGTCCTATGATTCTATGATTCTTTACACAGAGCTCTGTAGCTCTTATTATATGTTTTTAAAATGTGTGTGTGTGTGCGCATCTGTCTGTGAGTCCGTTTGTTCAAGAACTCCTCCTAAACTGTAAGAGCTAGGACCACCAAACTCACTTTGCAGTTTCCTCTTATCAAGCTTAAAGCAAGGTCATGGGTTGTTTGTACCAAAACAATGGGACGTGCCTGGAATGCAACTGCTTCTCATAAAATAGAAAGGGAGGGGTCTGGCAGGAAGGGAGTTATACTACAGAATGACCACAAGGGGGCAGCAAGGGGCCAGAGATGGAGACCAGGACAGCTATAATCCCATTGCGGCAGGGACAGAGAAAGGGACAGCTATCTACCATATATTTCAGAGAGTTTGGTAGTTAGTGTGTCTGTCTATACCCCACCCCAGAAGACAAGCATCCCTCCTCCACCTGTGCCCCCTGGAGCTGCAGTGGCCACAGAAAGGAACTTCTCACCTGGCCTCAAACTGCTGTAGTGAGAGAGAGCTGGAGCAGCCATCTCTCCCTGGAGTAGCTTGAAAACAGATCCCCTCGTCCCCAGCCACACCCCAGCGCAAAGATTTAAATGAAAAAAATTAATTTACCGAGTAACGCTGCGTCAATCTTCTCATATTTAATATGGCTGGGTAGGACTGTGGAATAAGATTAGCTTTGGCAAGGGAGAAAATATACTCCACACCCACGCGAACATATAACCACCACTAGGCAGATCTGAACCTGGGACCTTGGGAGTTTAGCGTAGGAGTTTCTATAGCTTGAGCTATAAAGCCAGCTGACTCTCACCCTAGGTTGCAGAGGTCTCTTGATTTTATCTGTTGCTGTGGTCTAGGTGCCACTGCATGGGACAGTGAACCACACTAGATGTGTGGGTTACATATACACACTCTCCATACTCACAGACACACCTGCGCACACACTAGCACAAGAAAGTGTTACATAGATTCAGCCTAGTGGCCTGACTAAATGACTGGTTTTCAGGGCTCTCTAGGTTCCAATTCCAGCTTACAAACTGCAGGAGCCTGGGAAACCCCTTGATCTTTGTACCTCAGGTTTCTCACCCGTAGAATTTTAATCTACCTCAGGGTTAAGTACTGAGGATAAATTTTTAAAAATCCAACCTACTAGGAATTCTGTGGGAGTCTGGCATGCAGAACAGCAGCAGGACCTCTCTGCAAACCTTATTCACCGATCCTGCTGTTGTTCTGCGGCTCAGATAGACCCAGGCAAGCAATGGTGCTATTTCTCTTTAAGGGGTGGGAGGGGCTGCAAGCCCCAGCTGCGCACACACAGCTCTGAGGCAGATTCACTTTTAGCACAGTCAGCTGTGAATGTAGCTTTTGGTGATTATTTGTGCCAGCTTATCTCATGCCCCTGGATATTCTTAGGTAACAAAACCCAGACATGGGTACTGGCACGGCCAGGGCAATTTCAGCTAAATAGCCTCGAGAACAGGTTGGTTCTCCCGCATGCCAGGAAAGCGAAGAAGGGAAGTAGTGTCAGCATGGAGGGAGGGAATAAGAAAAAAGTAAGGTCCAAGTCTGCTCAGCAACAGTGACATGGGCCAGAGCTCCCCTTGGGGGAAGAAGGGACACAGGCAGGTCTTATTCAAATCTGCAGAGTTGGGATTTGGGGTTCGCACCTCCTCTTCAGATGAAGGGAGTGTTTGTCCTGGTATTGTACTGAATCCCAGCCAGATTTGTGTGGCCTGAAGCAACATTCAGCTGTCTCCATAGGCAAGTCTGCTCAGCGTGGTGCACTGAGGCTTATGTTAGAATGACAAGCTATCACTTTAATGGCAATTCTGCTTACAGGTTTGGGGGAAGTTCTGAACAAAGCAGGCTACTCCTTGCCATTCACCCCACTTATTTCAAGACCATCTCTTTCCAGACGGACTATGGTACCTGCATCCTATTCTATACAACCCTATAGCACGCAAGCAAAAGCAGAACCCCACCTCCCCCCCTTTATCCTCCTTCCTCCCTCAACAGATGTGGGAACTAGTGTGCAGGGAGTGCTTCAGTACAACTGAACTTCCAGCCGAGCACTCAGCTGCTGCCCCATGTGCCCAGGGCTCTGCTACTCTCCCATACACTGGGAAGAAGGAGGGTTCTGCTGACAGCTCCATGCTGCAGGTCTTAGATGCTGCCCTGCACACCCAGATTTTACTCCCAGAGGGAGTAAGGAGGGAGGGGGCAGGACAAGGAAAGGGGAGAGAGGTCAGCGATTCTTAAAAATGTTCCCATGTGACTGCTCCCCCCGCACCTCATCCCAGCCTCACACACAGTAAAATTTTCATTGCTTTCTCTCACTTCCAGGGCTTCTATTGACTTCGCTCTCTGCTGTGTACTCCCAGGTGTCAGCAACCTTGCCAGCAAACTCACTGCCACTCGGGGCAGGACAAGGAAAGGGGAGAGAGGTCAGCGATTCTTAAAAATGTTCCCATGTGACTGCTCCCCCCGCACCTCATCCCAGCCTCACACACAGTAAAATTTTCATTGCTTTCTCTCACTTCCAGGGCTTCTATTGACTTCGCTCTCTGCTGTGTACTCCCAGGTGTCAGCAACCTTGCCAGCAAACTCACTGCCACTCGGAGCCATTCTGATCTCAGATGGTTTGCGGCTTGGAGGTGGGTAGCTTCCCCGGCCAGAAGCACCAGCCATTGGTTTACTGCCTGAAAGCAAAGAACAACAGAAGGGAAGGTTGGCATGTCTAGATCACAATTCTAAAACTCCATTCTATTTGCATTTATCACAATCAATCACCCCCAAAAAGGAACTCTGGGAAAGGCATCAGCCTCTTTTTATTGCCTAAAACAAAGCTACCCTGGCTTTCTGGAAGGGCAGCTTCCAGCTTCATCTCCCCCTTTGATGTAAGCACATGTCACAGCAAGGGAGGGAGAGATGGGAAAAGGAAGAGAGGAAAACGGAGGGAAGGGAGGAGAAATGAGCTAACATTACACACCTAGCATACAAGGACAATGGGAATGAAGGATTAGACCAGAGGGAACGTACAATGGCCTGCTTACAATAGCCAGCTACTATGTTGAACTTCTCTGGTCCAGAACTCTCTGGTCCAGAGACATCTGTCATGATTTCAGTTTAGCGGGATGTCCACTTATCATGGGGTTGGCAAAGTTTCCTGCATCCCCCCAAAGTCTGTGGACAGCCACCAGTCCTGGCTCTCAGCGTTCTGTGCTGTTCTTTAGCTCTCATTTACCCCTCAATGTCTGGCGACAGCACAGTGAGCAGTGGCAATGCTGCTAGATAACACTGACCTCCCATGGTCTGGAAAATTCTCTGGTTCAGAATTGGACAAATCCTGAGTGTGCCGGACTAGAGAGGTTCTATCTATCACCTGGTGAGATGTAACATATGGCAGATGGTTCTTAGAATCACACAAATGTGTTCAATCAAGCCAGCCAAGGAAACAGGTGGCTGTTCACAACAGTGAAGGTTGCTGGTGGAGAGCATGCTTTTGAAGAACAAAATGACATATGACTCAAACTGTCTCACAGGAGGGTGAAACTCAGATCCAAGCAGATGGCTTTGCCGTGTGTCTCCAATAGAACCATTTTGTTAGGCAGGCCCGAAAAGAAACTACTCCCTAGCAGACTCTAGTGATGCTGGTTGCTACCTCAAGTGATGCCAGTCATCAGGAGCGAAAGGCTGCTTTCCTGCCCCTTGGCATGCTGTTCGCTTTACTCTTCATGCCAGCTGGGGAAGCAGGTGCTCAGTCAATTGAGTGGCTCCCGCTTATGCCAGCTGTGTATCTGGCACTTCAGCTGTTTACACCAAACCACAATTACGTGCATAAATGCACAGAACACGTTGTTTGACAGCAATGCATTGGTACTAAATACATGTAAGAATGCGTGGCCTAACCCAGACAGGCATGTAGCACTGGGCAGTCAGGGTATGTTATGCCATGCAGGGGCACTAATGGGTCCTGGTGAGCAAGGGGTTACTTTCGACTCAGACACTTCAGGGAAGCTTGTAAGGGGTGTGCTTGAGCGACAGAAGGGGAAATGCCTTTAGGAGGCTGGGCTCCATGTGTAGGAGTCAGGTTGAAGCACCTGCTGCAGGACTTTTCCCTTTACGTGAATGTCTCATGCTCACTAATGAAAGTTACAGCCTAACTGTGCCCTATAAGGTGGCATAATATTCTTCCACTTCAGAAACAACCACAATCACTGTTTTTGTCTTTGTTTACATTCATCGGATACCAGCGGTTTGAACAAATACATTACTGCCATGTTGGTTAGGAATTCTGGTACCCTCTTGTGGAAAAAATTGCAATCCCCCCCGCAGAGATGGAAAAGGTCTCTGCACTTACCTGGCCTGTGCTGCAGATGCTAGGCATAAATCTAATGACATAAATGGCATCCTTACCCTGGGATGAATTCTCAGGGTCACCGCACACCAGGAGAGCATGTATAGCAACAGATATGGGCTGCTATGTAGGTGTCAAGAGAGATAATGTGGGGGAAAAATGTGCCTCGCACACCAGGAGCCTCATCTCTGCAGAACAGCAGGACACTTTAAAAAAAAAAAGCACAACAGGCAGCCTGGGGAAAGTCATTGGCACACTAAGAGGCCACTGATAACCAGGAACAGCCTGGTTAAATAATGATAAATGGTCATACGCAGTACAACAGATGGCTTAAAGGTCATTTTGGACCCTGCCTATATTGGGAAAAGAAATGTGCAAGTGGCGGCCATATTTAAAGAGGGTGGCTGGCTAGCTGCTGTCCCCAGTCACTGCACACAGAGAAGGTTTTGAGGGAAGGCTGGGTGATAGGATAGTGTGCTACTTAACCCAACTAGCAGCTTAAGAATCCTTCTCCACCCACAGCTCCTCTCCCAGTGGGTGAAATCCACCCCTGTGAGCATGCCCTGTGAAAAGCCTTTCATTCAGAGAAACTTCAATGCATTTTCATTCAATGCATTTCTCTGCTTTTCACTCAGAGAAATTTCAGTGCATTCAGCACCTGAATTCCCACTAAGGCTTGGACTGAGACACCTGAATGTGCATTGAAAATAGGACGTATCTTGGCCTATTTATGGTACTGAATCCCTAACTTCCCTGCTTTAGTCTCTCAGACAAGCTAGAAAATCTTTACCTGATTCTGCCTTTTGTCTCATCCCCTTCCTTCCCTTGTAGGCAGCAGGATTCTCTTCTTCTGAACTATAGCCACGTTCAGAATCATGGCTGGGGTCCCGGGATTTGACTAAACAAAAACAAAAAGAGAGTTGAATTAAACATTTTATATATATATTTGCTAACCTTTTTTGAAAGACAGACTCAAACCCAAACACAATGTGTAATGCCTTGCAAATCAACTGTCTAGTATTTATATGCACTGCTGCTCTCTACTGGATTGAAACAGAATTGCACAAGTTTAGGTCATCAGCCATATATTGCAATTGGAGAGTCTCCTTTAACTCATGTGACAGGGCTTATGGTGTTAGAATTCCTCAGTGATAACAGAATAGAGCTCAGACAGAAGGACAGTTGTAAAGTCCTAAGTAATTATGGCTGTGTCACAATATTATACATGCACTTGTAAATTAAACATGACTTCACTAACTTACAGTCAAACCTTCCAAGCTACTGAAGGCAGCTACAGTGCATCTGCCACAGCAAATTCTGTCTTTGGGATAAATCAAGAGAAGGAATCCTTTAAGGGAGAAAGAAAAGCATCCATGGCTTAGAAACAAACCTGTTTTCCTGCTCACTCCCCTCTTTTCCTCCGGGCCACCTAAAAGGAGAATGTGCACAGTGACATGAGGCTGCAGGTTCTGCTTTTGTACTGCTGGCCAGATCTAAGTCTGCAGAGGCACCACCGATCACAAACCACCTGCTGCTCTGAAGATACAGTAACCCGCAGGCACTAATAATTTTTCTGACAGCCTCAATCCCGAAGCATGTGCCTGGCATTAAACATGGGTGTCAAGTTATTCTATGGGCTTTATACTAGGAGTCGGATTTTAGTCATGAGGCTACAATTCCAAATAAATGGTCAATGCCAGCTCACAGCCAGACCAGAAAATTGAGCTTGGGACCAAGCACCTCCACTCACACCCCCAGCCATGCACAGGAGTACAGTAAGTGTTGTTAAGTAAGTACAGTAAGTGTTGTTAAGAGACACCAGTGTGGTGCCCTGACAGGTTTCTTGCTCTGTTCTTGGATGATATCCGTTTGGTGGTGTGTGCGTGGGGGTATGCAAGCGCATGTGCACTCTTCCTGCATGCTGCACTGGCTCTGCGCAGGTAGCCAGCCCAGCAGACTCCAAGAGAGTCCCCAAAGACCACAACATCAGATATGGTGCAAAGGCGCTCCTACCAGGTTCACTATCCATGACCTATGGTCCTAGTACAGTAATTCCTCGCTTAACACATGCCCGCTTAACACGTTTTCGTGATAGCACGATTTTTGTTTTGGGAACATTTTTCGAACAACACGACCTGTCCCCGCAATAACACGATTTCCCCTAGGGTCGGCCGGTGGCTGGCAGCTGTGTGAGGCTCTCTCTGCAAAGCAGCAGAAGTTCTCTGCTCGTCGTGCTGTTCCCCGGTGACCCCTTCTGGCCGGATGCTTCGTTCCCTCTACTCTGCCCCCCGCTTGCAGCTGGGTTTCCCCAGCTGGCCGGTCACCGGCAGCTGCGCGGGGCTTCGTCTGCCTCCTTACAAAGCGGCAGAGATTCTCCGCTCACCGCACAGTTCCCCGGTGACCCCCTCTGGCCGAATGCTTTTAAGGAGGCAGAGGAAGCCCTGGACAGCTGCCCCTGACCCGAAAGCTGGGGAAACCCAGAAGAGAGCGAGCGAGGGATCCATTCCCCCAACCTTCTGTCCTGGACCCAGCTGCTTACAAGTGCAGGTTGCAGCTGCAAGCACATGTACGCTTGAAACGCAACCCCCACCTTTTCCATTATTTTCAGTGGGAAAATTGACCCCGCATAACACATTTTCACTTAGCACGATGGTTTTCTGAAACATATCTAGTATGTTAAATGAGGAATTACTGTACCTAGCACACTCTACCAGGCCACTAACATGTATGCCTATTGTAACAGGATCAGCTCAGTTAGTGGCAGGGGTTTCCACTGCCCCCTTGGCTGCACAAGGACAATATCCTTAGGATACACTTTTATACACAGGCATAGAAAAGTTACACATCATTCCTGAGGGTGCCACCCTCTGACGTTAGCTAGATGGAATCCATTACTTTGTACTTGGTGGTTTGAGGTACTAAGATGTTTCTCAAGGAGGTGTTCTGTTACCATCCCTCTGTGGTATGTTTACAGTCTGTGCCTAGCACCTCGTAAGTCTGAGTGTTTCTGTAACATCAGTCCTGTAGTTACCAGCTTCTGTGAGCAGGGACTGCCTCTTGCTCACAGCTTCTCTTTGCTTATATAAGCAGAGCCTTGACCACTTTTATCCAGGTCACAGGCCTCTCACCCAGCCTGTGACGTATGGGCTTATGCTTACCTGATCTTACTACAGTAAGAAGGGAGCATGCTAGGAGCCTGGTTCACCACAGTCCAGGTAATAGGTCCTGAAGGAATCTCAATCCAGGACCAACAACGGGTTTCATCCCACCCCTGCTCACAGCAAGAGGCTGTCTGATATAGGGCCAGGTTAAAAACCAGGTTAAAAATTTTGGACTACCCGGACAGGTGTAGGGTTGCCATATGGTTTAACCAAAAATACTGAACCCCCCCCCCCCTCAAAAAAAATACC